ATTTTAGCAGCATTTGATAAAAGTTGATAAAATTTGTAGTTGAGAAGTTATGGATCTCATGAAATGTATAGTTAAAATTAATTAATTTTGACTTAAATCAAATTTTAATTTTAATTTTCTCAAATAGATGCTATGTTTAGACTTAGGTCTTTGTGAAATTATCATTGGCGAGTATTCATAAGTTATAAAATCAATATTCATCTTTCAAAATGAGAAGTGCTCATTCCCAAAATTCTTTATATGTAGTTCGTTATCTAAGGAAACTTTTATTCATCATTCGAGGACAGCATCTCATATCATAGATTGGTATGAAAATTTGAATTCATGCTATTAATGTCTTACATAAAGGTGACAATGAATTGAGTTAAGTTGACTTGTCCCTTGACACTCGGGCTCAACTCATTTCAAACTCTAAGCTCAACTGCCAATCATGAATTGACTCATTTTTTTTAAATAATCTCAAATTAAGCTCAAATGCACATATTTAAAGAATTAATAAAATGGGTCAAAAGACAAAAAAAAAAAAATGTTGGTCCACGAGTCTAAACGAACCAACTCGTAGAAAAAAGTGAACTCGGTTCAATCCATGATTCATCTCTGTATGAGTCTGCGTTGGCCATTGATTGAGTCTAGACGAGTCAAGTTGACTTCCTAGTTTTACATGTTGAAAACTTGTATAGATTAAATAACTAATTATCTAAAGATAAGGGATCTCCTTATGTGAAATCGAGATTGTAAATTATTTGTAAGATCGTAATTAAAATTAATTGTTTTCTATTAGCCAACATACTGTTGCTGATTGGGGGTTAAGTTCATTATCCAATTCAATTATATTTAACAAAGACATTTATCAATGCAGTAATATATTGTTTTTTCTAACATAAATTACTCCGAAAGTGGTTTGAATTAAGAGTGAAAAGGAACTATAACTGACCATATCTTAGAGGCGGCTTATCGTGCACACATGGCAATTGAAATAACATTAAACCCTGTTTTATTTAGTTAGAAATCAAATTTTAGTATATTTAAATAAAAATTAATATAGCATAGTTGAAAAGTTGATAAATTGTGAATCCCACAAAAAGATATGATTAAAAATGAATTTGAAGACAAAACGAGTTTTAGAAAATGAAGACCGAAACATGGGCAAAATCAACGAATTCATGGCACATTGCTATGATTATTTTGCACCCTCTAATGTTCAATGTTTTGAACAACGTTCCCTAACAAAATTTTATTAATTTTACGGTTAGGTCCAACGATATTAGAATGCTCTATCGATATAATATATTTTGAAAAAAA